ACCAAAACCACCAAAAGCCTAAAAACATACGCATTCATCGCCGCTGCGTGCTGATCAAAAGCGAGGTTAGCGGTCCCATAGTTAACTGCACGATGCGGGGATATAAATGATACGCACACCATTATGCCGCCGGGAAAGCCACGCACCGCACAGACACAGGAGGACAGCGCACTCTTAAAAATCGTGAACACTTGAAAGACGTAGAACTCAACGAAGATAACTTTCTGTAATATACCTGAGTTAAAGAGGAGGTCTATGAAAGTCAAACTTTTGGACGACTCGAAGCAATGGGAATTCAGGCTAGACAGTCCAGTTTGTTTCACATCCTCCGCCAACCACACGCAATTCACTAAGTCGAACCAAAGATCCTCATGGTGAAAGTTCTCTTGGGTGCCAAATTGTAGACCGTTCTCTTGTCAGCATCCCGTCCACGCGATTCGTCGCCTGCCGTTATATATTCCTTGACATCCACTGGAGTGAATGTCGGCAAAGGAAGCCAAACCCAGATTAATACAGCAAAAGAAACGACGAAAGTAAGTCTTTGTAAATGGCGTTCTCTTACTATGGACTACGAAGAGTCGCAAGCCAAAACTCATAGTTTTGAAGACTAGGGCTATATCCGCGAAGCCCACTCGCTTCACAATATGGTTACCAAATCAACGGCAAGGTTGCCGATAGCAAACTAGTATGAGTTATGTGATCTAGGGGTGATGAAAATTGTGCTCTACTTGAAGAAAAAGTGGAAAGAGTGCTCGGAGGTTAGCAGATGATGGACAACAAACTGCCGTCATGGTTTGTCTAAATGCGGTTGAAGTCAGGCCACCATTCGCCAGGGAAACACAAAACCAGCAAGGTTTCTGCTGTTGTCTCCTTTTCCGAATTTGCGAGCAGTTCAAATACCCAGCCGTCCGCAAAAGAAGAAACAAGAAGCCCGACACATGTCGACTCTAATGTACTAGGTACTTGGTACCATATGCAAAGGACTGGAAAGGCCCCGGGGCTAGACATGAACTAAATAAAAATGGCCATCGGCCGCCGGCCTCAAAAATGTCTGCGTAAATGCGCGGAGAACGGCTGTGTGTTCGGGTAATCTTCTGGCATCCTCAGCTTTCAACTTTTGTTTATAATGGCAAAAGGACCTCTTGAGTAATAAGCCGAGCTTCGATCTCGTTAATTCACAATATGATCAAATCCTGGTCACCGACATATCAATGATCTACATGCTTACCGACGACGAGAACGCACTACCTGCTTTGCCAACTTCGCGCAATGGTCGACCCTTTAGGGGAGGTGGTATAATTATATACTATCGTTCTGACCTACTCATCAACTGCGTAATCAAAATAGCGGTTCAGACTGTGGACTCCTGTTTGTGCCTTCTATATATAAAGCAAGCGTTATATGCTTAGTAACCTTCGTATACTACCGCCATTGTCCAATTAATAGATGTACCAGGCTCTAGCCTCGGCTTTGAATAACCTGCTGGCACAGTCGAACGATCATTTACTCTTGAAAGGGAAATTAACCAATATGATCTGGAAACCCCGGCCTTCTTTGAGCAATTTAAGGAGAAACTGCAAAAGCTGGTCACCGGTTATCCGCTGTACAGCCATTCATGTCTCACACGCGTTTCAGGACAGAAAAGAAATTTTTATTACCAAAGAGTTACTCATTAACGATGCAGAAACATTGTGTGCCTATCTGCGCTGCAGCGATCGCATAACGCTAGTATTCCGCTACATGCGCTACACAGAATAAGTGTAAGCAGATATAGAGGAATCGCATGTCGGAACCAATTACGATAATCTGTCCAACCTCATTGATACAGGAAGCTAGTCTTTCCCAGCTGCATATTCCCTGAGATGGCCAGCGGGGAATTATTTAACTGATTAACACGCTGACGTTAAGAATATCAGAAACCAAAAGCTACCAAATAAGACAGATTAAATAGTTCCCGTGGAGCAAGACTCAAACGTCTCTGACATCGAGGAACTCGGCTTGGCTCATCCACATGTCCTCTTTGCTCTACACGAAGTGTGCGGGTTGGCACAAACGGCACAAGAGACGTCAGAATTTCTTGGGCTTTAATATAACCTTATATAATAAGGTATATAAGCCTCCAATATCCTGCCTACGAAGAGTCGGCAGCCATCAGGACTTAAATACATAATTTAGGACCACAGCTAAATGGAAGCAACTGATGTCCTTGCACGCGTTCAGTTACCCTAGTGCAGATGGCATCCATCCAAAGGCGTTGAAAGTGGCTGTTTCAAGTTTAGCTGAGCCGTTAGCAATATTCTTTCAACAATGCTTAACGAGATACCTGTCCCTAAACGTGGAAGCACAGGATCTTTACACCAGTCTACAAAGTGGCATCGTGCAGAACCAGCGCATTATCTACGGAAAAATTTACTTCCATTACTCATCAAGATTATAGAGTCCATAGTCACTGAGGCAGTCGTAGGTTACACGGGGAGTAATATAATGTTCGATCCGGAGCAACACGGACTTCCCCAAAATCGGTCCTGTAATACTAATTTGTTGATAGCTTGCTCAAGCAGTATGGAATCTGTGGAGGCTGGTGTAGGAGCGGACGTAGCCTACCTGGATTTCGCAAAGGTATTCCACCGCCTGAACCATCGTATTCTAATGCACAAACTGTAGGACAATGGAATCGGCCATTTCGTTCTGGGCTGGATAGAGACTTTCTCGTTCAATGTCACCTAAATGTGAGGATTTAAAAATGCATATAGAAATCAACCGAATTTCAGTGCGGCGTACCTCAATGTCGGTACTCGGTCCACGCCTGGTCTTCATGAAAGTTCACATGAGGGTGTTGTTTTCAAATTTATCATATTCTTTAATGAACGAAAGATGTGCACGCTCTTACTACAGTGGAGGATTGTATAGCCCCACTAGGTGATCAGGACGAAGTATACAAATTGTTCATCGCGAACATTCTAAAGTTCAAGGACTCCAGTTGCAACGCAATGAGCATGCACCAACATATTACTCACAATTGCCGGCTAGGTCCACAATTTCTACAGCTGGCTTTTCATGAGTGCGATGTAGACGCGCCTTTGCAGAATGAGCTTGGTTGTTTGAGACCGACTGGAAAGTCCTTTCTTAGTACGTTCGATGAGTCCGACGCTTCATTCTTTCCGAAAATGCTCCGCTGGTACATGATTCCGTATGGGGAAAACGTTAGCAAAGCATGCTAGCCCTATCAGAAGTAAATACTCACCGCGCCCGGAAATGCCAAACGCAGGATAAGGAAAAATGCCAATGTTTTGTTCAAACTTCCCTATCCACTGAAGATGAAAACTCTTAAAGTATGCAGCTTACCTTATCGGTTTCTATGATGATACTTCCTAATTGGGTACTATACACTATTATACCCAAAAACATGCCGACATCTTCTGTAACTCTCTCCAAATACATGTCTGAGGGGTCACCAGTTTCATTTGGCTAAAGTGTACAACCGACTGGACCTTGGACGAAACTTTATCCCTCCGGGTGTTACTACTACAGAAGAACCTTCCAACGCATGTCAGCAACCCCCCTGATCATTTTCTATTCAAGGAACACTTTGAAGTTATCATGACACATTCAAACTGGGTAACAATTAGATAACAGAATTAGTTCAGAACAAGCAGCGGACGGTTTCATAATACGCCGAAAATCTAGGCAAGAATACTCCCACTCCAAACCTCTTGGTGTGTCACGCATATCGCGCGTTTTGACCGAAATTTTATTTCATCCAGTAAGTTCCACTCAAATAATTCTGCTGAACTATTTAAACATATACTTTATTCCAGTCGTAAACCATTGTTACACTCTACAAATTGTATTCAACAGAAAATAAATAAGGCTTTTCAAATTGAGAATTCTTCTCAGCGATTTCTAACTCAGGTACTCCTTTGCATACGCAGAAATTTATTTACCTGCAGTTTCAACCTGTTTGGGAATCATCAGCATTGCGCATCCATTAAATCCAACAGATGCAACCGCTGGTATTCATATGTTCGAATCCTAAGCGAGTCGATAGATATATGCTAGTTATGATGCGTAAACAGGTTGAAATTGCAGACTAGTTCTACTCTGGGAATGTGGAAGTTTAGCTGCATTCGAAGCGGCGGCGAGCAACATCAAAATTTCTATACGCATGAGTAGATAATATTTTGCAAAATCTTTTAATCACAAACACATCACTGTTTGTCAGTGGCATAGTACACGTGAAATACACTGACCATAACGCATACTCTTCAAAGTCTAGTGAACATTTTAAACATGATGTGTGAGATCTAATTATTTGCTGTGTACGAAGTATTAAACGGTCCAACCATAATTAAGGAATGTTGCGATAGGTTCTCAATGCCTTGTATTTCAAAAGTACTCTTGCTAACTAACAATTACATAGGAGTAGTAGGGGGAGTTGAATGGTCGTGCATAATTTACTAAATGTGATATAGCGCTGCTTACTATCCACTGACTTACACGCTACTGTCGTGCAGAGGATATGGCAGCCGTTCTCACCAAGCGACGATCTTACCAAAATTAAGGAGGCAATTAACTTATGACATTATAAGCAGTTTGGTCTGCCTACTGATTCCATAGGAGTACTAGCTCAGTAGTCTCAATCATGGACCGGCAACAGTCGAGTAGCGGGTTCGAGCCCTACCAGGTTCCGATGGATTGCGCACTGCTGACGATTTCCGAAAAGATGAAAAGCGTGTACAGTGCTTTTCCGGGCCTGTGACAGCTGTCTGAGTGAGTCTAGATGTGACAAATTTCTACTTATAACTAACAATTGCCTACCAACTACTGAACATGATTTAATTAATATGTTACTCATACACTGGTTGTGAATCATAGAATACATCTTAAGTGACAAATTGTCCGCCGTATTCCCACTGACTGTTGTGTTCCAAGTTGATTCGTTTTGCTGCAATCCAGATATTGTCAGTCAAATGCATTGTATATAATTTTATTTGATTTAGAAACGCGACATTTTAAACAAGCTGCTCATTTCAACAAGGAAAATGCATCGATGTTTGACAAGGGTCGAGGCGCTGTACAATCAGACTGCTCCATTTCATAATTCAATTCATGCTACGGATGTGATGGTTTCCATGGATTATCTGTTGCGCCTCAATGGACTAGAGGTAAGCGAATGACTGTAATTAACTAAGCTAACCCTGATGAACTAAGTTGGTTCCTCTCACCATCAGTGAGCCCCCTGACTTCTAGTTTAACGTACAAGACACATAAATATTGTCTTCCTCTAAGTGTTCCAATGGTGTATTCATGCAGTAATAACGACGAAACCCAATAAGTTTTGCTGTGTCTCGGCTGACAGTGACGAGATTACTAAACCCATACCCAAGCAACTAAGTGAATCCGAATATGTGTACTTATCGAGTCACTTGAACCAACTTGCCTGCGGAACAAAATATGGATCAGCATTTGCTTGCTCGTTAGTAATAGCACATTGCTAATATAATTTAGCTAATATATGTAATTGGATACCAAGTTTATGTTGCGAAGCATCCGGTGAATTTAATTTTGTGTTCAAAAGCAACTCTTTCTCAGATTAATGTTGGAATGGAGATAGGGGTTACATTTCTGTCATTAATTTTACATCTCCATAATTTTTGCTCTGACCCATAAATAGTTATATGGCATTATATCGATGATGCTTAATAGTAAGTATTGCATATAAAAGTTATTATTCCTGTCTCAGAATTCGACTTTGCTTACGGTCACCTAGATAAATGTTAACCGGTGCGTGAAGCTCTACCTAACTAGAACTTGAAGAAGTAGGTGAAGCTAAGCGCAATGTCTTTAAGTTAGCACCGGAATTGTGTTGGAGCTGGTTACTATACTGGATGGGTAGTGTGCTGGTGGTATCAGATCAGACTGAGCAGATGGACCAACCGAGCCAGCTACAACTAATGGGAGGCGGAAGCGACGGATTCGATTACTGGACTCTGATTGGACGATGTTCGTGTGGGTCATTCACCGTTGCTTTGACTGAAGCAAAGGAGGAATCTCACCGACTGTGATGGGTCGTTAGTTATGGATTTGAACTTGCAATTCGTACCGAATTGTTTGACGTGCTAAACATGCTGTAATTTTCTCTGAGCTGTCTTTGCCGAATAAATGATTGTCCCTAAAATACTGGGTTCTGCAACAAGGTATCAGCGAAGACAAAGACACCCCACTGGTGGCGCGCGAATGCTGTTCGGATCACTACCGTCTATTCAGATTCCGGCCTCACTCAACATGGATGAACTGAAGTTGACGAGTAATTGGCTTCTATGGAAGATCAAGTGTGGGGATTTCTGCAGTTTTGTATGTTTGGACCAACAACCAATGGCGTATCGCTTGACCATGTTTCGACATGCAGCCGGGCATGACGCGCTCCGTCTTCTAGAGAGATTCCGCCACGACAAAGGCAAAGATCCCAATAATTTGATGATGGTCATTGGAAAGATCAGTGAATGTTGTGAATGTCAAACCAACAAAATCCGGCGGACGAGCGAACCAATACTGTTACATGATGTCCCTGACCGACCGTGGCAGAAAGTGGCAGTGGATTTATTCAATGATGACAGAAACGATCACTTACTCACGGTAAATTATCATAGTGATTATTTGAAATTGATCTACTCACCACTACGACAATAGAAGCAGTAATCAACAAGCTCAACTGTCAATTGGCGCGACACGGTATATAGTTGGAACGGGTTGCCGACACTGGGCCCCAGTTTACCAGCGGTGCGTTCCAGGCGTTCGCAACCAAGTGGAAATTCTTGCACTAGCAAGCCAGCGTATAAGGCGATCAGTCTAATGGACTGGCGGAGTCGGCAGTGAAACAGGCCAAGCGAATGTTATCAAAGGCTAGAGCAACTGGCGAGGACCCGTACCTCAAACTACTGGAGAATCGCAACACGTCTTCAACCATTATCGGTTTGAGCCCGGTGCAGTACCTATACAGCCGATGAACTAGAATGCTGATGTTGGCATCTGCCACAATTTTGCGCCCAGTTTCGCCACAACACGAACGATTACAGAACAATCTGAAACGACGAATGACCAATCAGAAACGGTACCATGACGGCGGTGCACTGATACCGCCTGAGCTAACCTTGGGAGAGGAAGTGTGCGTTCAACCATTGCCCGATAGTCTAGAGCGATGCAAGAAAGATGTGGCGACTGCGACGGTCGACGCCAGGTCATATGAAATAAAGGTTGGAGAAAAAAAGTACAGAAGAAATCGAGTGCATTTGAGGCGACACGGAGACAACAATGTGGATTAGCAGTGAAGTGGCGGATGGCATGTAGCAAGGAGACCACGGTCACATATACAACGAAGACGACACGGCATGGCATGGTGTACGGGGTGGATAGCAATATGGAGGTGCAAGAACACAAAAATGTGAGGATGTGATGGTAGTATCAGATCAGAGTGAGCAGATGGACCAACCGAGCGAGCCACAGCTAATGGGAGGCGGAATTGACGGGTTCGATTACTGGACTCGGTTTGGACGATGTTCGTGTGAGTGATTCACCGTTGTTTTGACTGAAGCAATGAAGGAATCTCACCGACTGTGATGGGTCGTTAGTTATGGATTTGAACTTGCAATTAGTATCGAAGTGTTTGACTTGCTAAACATGCTGTAATATTCGCTGAGCTGTCTTTGCCGAATAAACGCTTGTTTCTAAAGGACTGGGTTTTGCAGCTGGTAGGATACTCTTTTTTTCATAGGCGATGTGTTGGTGGGAATAAAACGTGGTCAAAAATTTAAGCAATTATACTTCCAATAGCCATTTTTAAACATAGTATTTATGAGTAAACCGCATTATACTTACCTGAATGACAAGAAAACTGCTACTGTCTCTATAAGCGAATACATGTGATCAATAGCCCAAACTTTTCCTAAGGGGACTTTTACGTTAACCATAATTTTGCGTAATTCCTAGAAGTTTACATTGTTTTCACTCTCTAAATTTGATCACTAACTTCATAACATTGAATGCACATTGCTTATTCAAATATTTCGGTACGAGTATTTGCGAACTTAATCATGCTCTGCAGAAGACAATTGGAGTATAACGTATGTGGGAAAATTGTGGCTCAATAATAGGATCAAGGTAGTTAGCTATCTAACAAATTGACAGTGGTCGAAAGCTAAACTTATATAACCAATGTTCCGATAGAATAATAAATTTAATTTTTTAACAATTATTTCCCAATAAACCGTTGGGGCTAGTTAACTAACAATCTAGCTTTTCAGTTTGGCACCTCGCAATCACTCTATATTCTTGTCTAGCTTGGAGTTCTGAGGTTGGGATTTACTTCGGTGTAGCAATATGAGCAGTATATAGAAAATTACCAGCGCTTATACAATGCTGCTTAAGCATTTTGATCTAGGAGGCTGATACATAATTTTTGCGCATTTTAGCCCAGTCATTTGAAATTACTAAAAGGTATGGCTGTTATAGTGTTAACTATAGAAATATGCCAATTAGCGAACATATTTTACATGCCGGTTTCCCACCTTACTTTTAGATGAGTCTTGCAAAGTTTGGGGACTTCGAAATCTTGTATGTTAGATACATAGAGGTTAGATTCGGTATGGCAAACTACTGTAAATTTTAGCAGAAAACTTATGATGTTAACAGTTACATATATAGTGGTTCTTTCTCTTGTTCGACGAAGTCCTGTCTCAAGCTAAGGAGTGAAAGCAAGAGTGTCCAGTTTGGTCGAAGAAGCTTCAAGGGACATTCGCTTTTTTAGCATGAATGCAAAGACGTCAATAATGCAGTCATGAAGGATATAAGCCGGAAGATATATTGCGGATTCCGCGTAAAATGACGCGGATGAATATAAAGTCGCACGGTAAACACAGACTTGGGAAATTTATCAAAAGACTACCAGGTGAATAAGATACATTATTCAGGAGCTGATGACTTATCTCCACTGGTTGCTTGATCAGCATTGTGGTACGAAATTTGGCCGGTAGTAGTTTACCAAATTTGATCAATAAAGTGAATGCAGCAACATGTAATTCTCCGATAATGAGATTGTAAAACACACTGCTTTATATTAGGCCTTGCGGTCGTAAGCTTGTTTGCATATTGAGGGCAATTTAACGGATTTACCGAAATGCTTTACGATATGTGTACCGGCAAAATTGTGGTGGTGTCAGTTAACTAAAGCAGTTATTTCCTACCAAATTTCGTAAACCGGACGATTCAAAAGCAAGTTATCAAACACTTTACGGACAACTTGATTTGTGCACTATTTAGTTTTCCCTATTTATTAATCGCCTTATTAATCACGCACACTAAGGGCAAAACTTAAAATGTAAGATGAGACCATGTTTGAAAGTATCGGATTGCACATGTGAAATAAAACACTTCATAATATAGTAAGTTCGACTTTACATAAATAATGTTTAAGTAATGCAAATTTTATGCAAGCAGCTTTTCTTATTGCAAACCTAGACGTACCTCAGACGTAACACAATACATAAAATTAACAAGATTAGTTTTTGCCTACTAGCCGTTTTGTCGTTGCACCCTATGTCGACATGAACAAAAACCATCCATCCGTACCTAGTTGTAACAGAGACAGAACAAAGCCAAAATCAGTCACATTGAACGAAGCGCATATATATTTAAATAAATTTAAAAGAGTATGTATTTGAACATACTGAACACGTATACAAATAATCATAACGTGAAAATCACTAGTGGTCTGGGCTGAAAGCTGTGAAAGATGTTTTTGTTACCGTGAGTATAGAAAGTGCATTAATTTACAAGTTTGAAATCACGGTTCCGTTGGCGAAGGGTAACCAGTAAGCAACAATAACTTACCGATGCATCAACTTCCTCCGTGGATGGATAAGCAAAAGCACGTTTAACTATGAAGCGGAAACTATTCGATGTTGAAATATATTAACATGGTTTTCTGCCTAGGGAAGCAACTAACTAAAACACAAACGAAGAGGTTTACTACATATGAATGGAGGAATTTGCTTGAAATGGAGCATTCGGTCAACAAATGGTATAATAAATATGTGTAATAAAGTCATAATAACCAACTTGCAGTTGAAGTTCACATGGATTTTTAGTTCTTGCAAAATACTAAAACCTCCCAAACTTGTTCAAATATTTTGCTGTGAAGCGGTGCAAGAACACAGCAAACACTGAATACTACGTACGCATGAAGGTAGTATTTCGTGTTTTAATTGGTCAATCTGATTTTGACAATAATTAATGATATACCTTTTTGATAAATGAATTACTAAAAGCAAGTTATTTGCTACACTGTCTGGCTAGCTCGTGATCACACGAATTAAAAAACTTTATAAATGACAGTAACCCAAATACAGTACATAGTGAATGCGGGATAGAAATTAACAAATCGTTTCTGACTTCAATTTTCACCAAATATATTATTATTTTTGAATTATATTTATGAATGAATCGCAAGTGTAATTTCCGATGGTAAAAAGGTAACTTTTAGCTAATTCACTAAAGTCCTCAATGCTCAAATGTAGTTCGAGGGTTTCCCCTAACTTATGTATCTTTTTTCATCTTCAGACTTCGTTTACGGATCTAGAGATATTTGCCACATTATTCGCTTGTGCTGTTCATGATATCGATCATCCTGCTGTTACAAATCAATTCTTGATCAACACAAGTACGTCCCACTTCACCTGTTGTATATTAACCTGGTAAGGTCTTTTCAGTCTATCACGTGTGGTTGGTAAATCTTTAGACTTCGTTTTAGTTGTAAAGCTTTAGTGAACATGTACAAACAGGTTCCTATGCATTCAAACAGCAATAGAATACTAATTGTGTAAGGTTCTGTTAAGAAACTAAAAATTGTTATAGTAGACGAGCAGCTAACTATTTGTTGCGAAATGTGAATGAGTGAACGGTACAGCAAAGCGACTTTCACGCAACGAGTTTAACGGAAATCTCGCCTTACAGGAACTGATATTTAAAAAACAAACAAGTTTTGGAAACCCAAGTTTTCAATCAAAGCAGAGCTGGTGTTATAAGCAAAGGTTGCTATGCGTCGGCTTTCACCAATTTTATGCAATGTGCTTCAATCCCAGTGATTATATCAAAACGAAAATATTTGTTGTATCCGGATCGGACTTCACGTGATGCACACTAGACCGAGATAACTTTTAAGGGGCTACTTGTACAGTGTAGCAGTGTCCAATAAGATTCAAGTCATCTACTAATTTGACTTATCAAATATAGAACTAGGTATAAATGTGCTCTTAGAAAGTACGAAGTATACTGCGCAATGCTTGCAGAAAATTTGATTGATTCATCCTCCATACATGCGTATGGATTCTCATAAACCGTTAAGTTGACTTATGTAAAACATTGGCAGATTGGGTAAGGCGCGAACATGAAAAGCTTAAAAGCCATCGAAACATGTAGAACCGTATCATATTATATGACATTAGACTAAAATAGGTGCTTTCATCTGGTATAAACTTTTGCTTGCTTCACAAGTGCTTCTTTACCAGTAAGGCAGATAACAAAACAAATTGTATATTAAGGTTAAAACTGTAAGAAAACTGTGTATTTACAGCTGCAAAGTCAAGCAGTGGGTTAATGTAGACCTGTCTGATGACTATCACGGCAGCTACGTTATTGACGTGTAATCAGGGATCACTTTCTTTTAAATTAAAACTGGCACAATTTCATTTATTGCAAATGTCTTAAAAACATTCATAATCTCTACAAGAGGTGGACATTGAATTTGCTTTAAAATTTTGCGTTTTCTAAGTCATCATACTAAATGTGATAAACCGCGTTTGAGCAGTAACTTCCGTGACGCCACCCTGCTAATATATATATATATATATATATATATATATATATATATGCTTGGCGCCATCAGGTTTTGGATTTGCCTGTCACTGTGGCCAGCCACAGGACGCCTGCGCTTACAGAGGGACCATGGGTGACTTGCACTGCACCACCCACACCTCCAACCACACACCCCATATCCAGTGTAAACCCGAAGGAATAAGACCAGGAGGCATGTGGATTGGAGCTACGTTTCATCAACAGAGCCGGGCCAGGCTCCCTCACAGGCAAAAACAAACACGCTGTATTTGAGGAATCAAGCGCACACAAGACGGTTGCTGGACTGTAGTCCGCTACACACTGAGTGTATGGAACCAATCTTCGAGCATAGTACGACCACAAAGAAGGTGCACCCTGTCCCCTCCAGCAACAACTAACTATCTCCTGGAGCCAATATGGACGATGTAGTGGGTGATAGACTGGTAGGCACCTTGTCAACATGCACATCAAGCGCGGCCACACCGGGGATATCAAGCAACAGCCAATCATTCGAGTGATAACAAGGTGAACAAATTGAGTGACGCATAAGGAAACCGTGACATAAATCTTAAATTAATGAGCGTGTAAAATAAGTTGTTTACAAACGAATCCGAGATGAATTCACGACGTCAGAAAGTATATTTTACGGAAATGCCACAAACATAAAAATGCTATCGAAATTAACTACCATTGTCTTAAACTACTTGTGCAAGTTTATAGAAGCCTAGCAAGTGCTCTCTGAATCCGATCAATTATCAACGTGTCTGCCAGACTCATTCACACCTCGTGCTTCTTCAGGCCGTTCAATGTAGGCCAGTTGATTTCGGAACGGTTGTCCAAGGGACAGTTGAAGTGTTTCCGCCAGATCTGTATTATGTCTGCATTCGGTGTGCAGTTACCGCCTGAAATACAATCGATCAGCGTCCTCAGCGACTCCAATCTCGGTCCATACACCGCCTTCAAGGAGTCCAAGAATTCCTTGTGTTGGTGGCGTTCGGCGTAGCATTCCATCTGCTTCGCCTTCTCCGTCCACCATGCATATTTTATGCGACGGAACTCGGGAGTCACTCGCAGTCGATGCTTTTCGAAACTGACTGTTATTCTCCAAGTCACTGGGGTCTGCGTCATGTGCAGCAAATGCTACATTCTTCCTCTACACCAATGCGCCAATCATCGCATTGTTGTCATCAGACTAATCAGGAAGCTTTCAGTTTGCGCGCCCGATGATCTCCTCGGCAACAGCTGTCACCTGGTCGCGAATGTGGTGCCACAGGTCGCCCGCTGTGGCTATGCAGGCTACCTCATACAGGCGTGCAGCCATCGCCTACTCCAGCTCAGTACGTTTCGCCACCGTACCGAGGGAGAGAATGTTAAATTTACGCCGATTCACGGCGGGAGTGCAATACATAGATTTACGAAACTATATGTACAGTTAGGTCCGCACCAACTGGTGATCAGTACTTCACTCAGCTCCACGCAGTACACATGTCGTGCGCACTTAAGGTATATCACGCTGACGTACGATGACATAGTCGAGCAGGTGAGCGTGACCCCTCCGTTGGTGCGTCCAAGTTGCTATATCACTCGCACTCAGTGCAAACCGAGTGTTCGTGATCGTCAGGCCGTGAGTGGCACACAGTGAGAGCAGCCTGTCACTGTTCGCATTCGCTGAACCAATGCCATGCGAACCGATAACATCTGTCCACGCTGATGCATCACGCCCAACGCGCGCGTTGAAATCACCCAGCAGAAATAGTCGGTCGCTGCTCGGTACGGACCGTATCACGGAGGATTGCTGAGTGTAGAATTGATCACGCTTGTCATCATGATAACACATGGTCGAACCGTACGTGCATATAAATTGGCAAACTTACCTCTTCCGTGTCGTAGGCGAACAGTCATCATTCGCGCGCTGATGTCTGTTGGTTCACCCACCAACTGTCCATGGAAGCGATCGGATATTGCAAATCCGACCCCATGTTCACGTGGTGCTGATGCGGCGTTGCCCACCCATTAGAATATGTAGCCAGCACCTGCTTCAATCAACTTACCTTGCTAAGGCAGCCGAGTTTCACTGAGCGCCGCAATATCGATATGGCAACGCGCCAGCTCCATCGCGACCAGTGCAGCGCGTCGCTCAGGGCCCTCACTGGAATTCCGGTCCGGTAGTTTGCGCACGTTCCAGCACCCGATGTTGAGTGCTTTGCTCGCAGGTATACAATTGCATTGGTGGCAATCGCACATGAAATGGTCGTTGTACTTCGGAGGTTAGCTTGAGGGACTCCGCCCGGCGCCTTTGGCTCAATAACCTGACCCACAAGGCAGTGGGCAGATCCAGCTCGGGAATGTGATTGGAGAGACAAATTGTGATCTGCTTGACGACCGTCACCCACAGCCTTGGAGGTACTGGAACGAGTCATATATGTTTTGCGACCGTAGTAGGATACACCTGCAATCACGACCAGACGCAGGTGGGTTTTTGGCGGGTTTGCACCAATTTGACTAGGGGCTGCCTGGCTTAAGGCGGGCAGCAGCAAACCATTGAACACCCGGATGTGCCCTACTACCGTCAGAGAAAATGCGCGGCGCTAGTGCTCTACGCCAATCGAGCATTAAGAATATAACCCGTAACCTGTTGTCTTCCATGGCTCGGTTTTACGGGAAGTGGGCCAACGACCACTTCCTAAACTCCGGAGAGGATGGACTAGGATACTGGCATGGCGCCCACACCTGACAGGAGAACAACTCGGGTCCTCAGCCAAAGCCTTCGATTAAATGTACACACGAAAGGGAGGGGGTCAAGCACAGGGTCAGTTCACTGACGCTTGCTGATCGGTGTCCTAGATCTTAACAGGGAGAAGGGCGAAACCCAACTCCTCTACCCAGCGGTCGGCATGAGGAGGTGTCCAGGACATGAGCCAATGGCGCAACAGTAGCCGCAGGAAGTAGATCATCTGTCAGCATCTTGCCATCCCCAGCCTCAGCGCACCAAAGGCTCTCTCAGCTTATATATATATATATATATATATATATATATATACCCATGGAATTGCTTGCCTTTTGGACGGTGCATCGCTATTAGGTCCCGTTCATGACGGTACCATCACATTTGGACTATCCGCTGGCTGCGGCTGACATGGACAGTGAGGTGGGAAAAAGGATAAACAAAGCGGGGTTGTGTTGTTCGATTTGGGGCAGCGAGAATTCCTGGCTAATGCTTTCGTCTAATGATTACTGACGAAAACAATATCAACAAAATATAGCCAACTGCTTCGTTTCTAGAAGTTTCTGCTGGCATCTTAAAACTCGATTAGATAGAAGTAAGCTAGTTATATTAAGGACACTTCCACCAGGTTTAAGTAAGCATGAAGTAGGGTTTGCCATGAATTATTGGCCGTACAAACTGCAATATCGGAAAAATCCACTATGCTACATAGCCTCCTTCATTAAATGCATTGTCCACTTTCATGGTTCCAGATGACGAACTTGCTCTCTTGTACAACGACAACTCCGTGCTTGAAAATCATCACCTTTATGTAATCTTCAATCTGATGCACAAAGAACCGGATTGCGACATAACCGACTCTTTCACAGCACAACAGCGAGCGCTATTTCGGAAGATGATCATTAGCCTAGTGAGTTGAACGACCAGTGCAAGTGCTTATGTGTAAACGATATCTGCTTCACATCGGTTTAAAAGGACAATAATCCTAAGGCTTCTTATCGATGTCTAGGTGCGTTTTGCTTTCAACTGCTACATTAACTAACCAGAAAGGAACAAGGCCCATCTTTTTCTTACATAGCTCAGTGTTGCAGAGATAACACTTGTGACTGGCTGCTAGTAGTTGGTGGTTGCATATTCTGAATGCATAATACAAAGTTTACGGTTCTATCAATTTGCTAACAGCTCCACGGAGTTTCTTAGTAGAGGTTTAAAGTCAATTGTTTAAGGAGGAACATGTTGATGGAGCAGGGAATTGATTTACAAACATTATTCACAAATAATTCCACCGAATATAAATACCTAGTTGTATTTATGGTGCCCATTCGAGAGACGTGGTAAAGCAAGCACTTACCCAATGTAAATTTTAACATAATTGCACAGATGCTGAGGTCAATAAATGCGATATAAGAAATAAGACGATTATGGATAGCGAAGCTAAGCTGAAAATGGCCAAGATAATATAAAATACAGGTTTGAAGGCGCTGTTTAATTAGAGGAAGCATCAAACATTTTGCTGCTCGTACGTATCTGTAAGGTTAGCAGTTCCAAATTATTTCCTTAAACTGTAGCTAAACTCTACTTAAGATCTGGGATTGTGTTGAACGGTGATCTTGTTTTTATATTGTCTCATCAGTAGCGATTTCTTTGCGAATGCTTCTCTAGCAAAACATCTGCTCTTTCATTTTGCTTGGCTCTGATGAACACTAAATATAACATTTTATACATAGGTATTGATACAGACGTTGAGCGCGTCAAGGTCATGCTACAATACCTAGCCTGTGGAGTTGCATTGTGCCCGCTAGTCCGTGAGTGTCCGTCTCCCGACTAACCAACGATGCTTATTGATTTGTTCAAAAGCGAGTGCTTAGCCAAGACATGTGGACTGCGTAAAACTAAACAGTTGATCTGTGCCCAGTGTGGACTGCCGATGTACTCTTGCTATTGCTTCTACTAAACTTCCATTTGCAATACTGTTGTTCTGATTTCGGTTGAGTGTGACAGGTATTAATAAAGGAAGGCTTTAGAAAGCCACAGCATACTAAATTATAGTTTGCATATCCTATGAAATTCATTGTGCAACTTTTCGAACAAACTGAAAGATATACCATACGAATCGAATGCAAACACTGATAAACTTGCAATAATAGCAAAAGGGAGCAAGCTTGTGTCTCAAGCAAACAAGAAAATGAGGCGCGAATTCTCACTCAAACTATCGTAAACATTTGGTGTCCAGCTTTTTCCAGCGCTTTTATGCAAAATAAGAGCGCTAAAAGCTATACTCGCCAGCTCTATGCTTAAAGTAACAAAGCAGCTTGTGTGTGCCGGATGGGTCGACGGCGCCTGGGACTCGCAGTAGCGCTTGGAAATCACGCAATGCAAATGTTGATATGATGACGCACATTTCGACTCCGACGTATATACCGGAACTACTTCTGTTTAGCCATTCATGCATTGTTTATCATCCGACAGCTGTAGAGTGTCTTATGTATTCCTGACAGAAAGAATGTTGCAGGTGGGAATCACCCGGATAGTGGCTAAGCATACGAGACTTGAATGATTGCTGGATAACTAGTCATCTATTATCGGGTAGGCTACTAAATGAGATCACACCAGTGTGTTCCGTGAGATCCAATCAACAAGTGACAGTCCTCTGATATACTGTAGAAATTGAAGACAATAATTAAGCCTAGGTTACATGTTTATAAGTATGCGCTGTTCACACTGACTATACCTTGGTAAATAGCCGATCGACAGATGGTGAATTAATAAGAATGTTTTTGTATTTCCGGGCGTAGTTATAATAATCCTTTTATTATCTCAACTGTGTAAACTTTCAATGATATAATATGAATGCAAATTTTATGTAGAAAGCGACAATACGCTGCGATGTATTTGGCCGCATATCATTCACGCGGCATTTTTGTATTGGCGTTTACGGGAGGTATTCCATCGGAAAAGAGTTGCTTCAATTTCAACTGATATTTTTACAACATTTACTCTGGCCTTTCTCGATTTCCGCTTTAGGTACTTTCTACTGACATGTCAAAACACATGAACCTTTTGGCGGACCTGAAAACTACGTTGGAGAGTCAACGAGCAGCCGGTTTCAATGAGTTTCAGTTAGATAACTATTCGTCACGGATACAAGTAATTTGGGATGGTGTGATCTTCAGAATCCAACAGTCAAAATTGGTCTTCATTACATTTCATGAATCATTTTTCGTAATTATATTAAAGCGTAACTTTACTGCTTGAGTTGCACTCCTATGAATTGGGACATTTTCTCTCACCCAAAATCGAATGTAGGAACAATTTAATGACTAGAGTTGATGTTAGGTTTGTTCCAGTAAACAGTTGATTCTTTTATTAGAAAGCAACAAAAATGTACAGGGTATATAAGGAGAACCGTTTATTTACTCACTTCTCATTCTCGTGCATTATGAGGTTAAAATTCAGATGTGTAATGTCGGAGAGCATTTTTCCTTAGTATGTGTGATCACAGGTATATTGGTACAAATGTATGATATAAGCTGCAAAATCTAAATTGTATTTGGCTGAACGGCTTTGTGCCCATTATTAGTATGCGTGATAAGAATAGTAGTAGCAGAAGGGTCAGCAACACACATAGATTTTACGGCTAATACAAACCGCGTTCGCAATGAATGCGGGTCAAGTATCATTAAGTGTTCAGATGCACCGATAAGGGTGGCAACAGTAAATGACGGATGAAAACTGATTGCTTTCCCTGATACTTGTCAATACCAGAGTCAATGATGTGAACTTGAAATACGCTACTTGTCCTGCGATGGGTGTGCTGCTGAATACTGGGGAAAAAGGAAGTGTATTTTTACTTACTTATGTACGAGGAAGTGTGCCCCATGCTGAGGCTGATGTTGCATTCTTGATGCTTCTTCACCGCAGTTGGGCTAAACCAACTTACACTTAAACTAGGTCTCTTTAAGTTGCATAAATTTCATTCCAGTTTAGTTGGTTAGTTTTGTCTATCTGAATAGTCTTCTATTAGCTGGCCCCGTCGCTTACGCTAATTGCGCATATCTTCGGTAATTTTGTTGCGTTTGTATCATTTTTGAGTAACTTGTGGACATTATTTCCTAATCGCGGATTCATTGCTAGCCAACTTACTTCATATGCTAATTTAGGGAAGAGTTATGCCACCGTCTCTGTATGCATTATTGGATTTATTTTATTTCATTTTGTCGTTTCAAGTGATTGGCTGTTGCGTGATATCCCGGTGTGGCTGCGCTTGATGTGCATGTTGACAAGGTGCCTACCTGTCTATTGCCCACTACCTCGTCCATACTGGCTCCAGGAGACAGTTGGTCGTTGCTGGAGGGGACGGGGTGCACGCTCTTTGTGGCCGTGCTAGGCTTGAAGAGTGGTTCCATGCACTCAGTGTGGAGCGGACTACGGTCCAGCCACCCCCTTGTGTGCGCTTGATTCCCAACTACAGCGTGCTTTTTTGCCTGTGAAGGAGTGTGGGCCGGCTCCGTTGATGAAATGTGGCTCCCATCCACATGCCTCCTGGTCTTATTCCTTCGGGTTTACACTGGATATGGGGTGTGTGGTTGGAGCTGTGGGTTGTGCAGGGCAAGTCATCCATGGTCCCTCTGTAGGCGCAGGCGTCCTGTGGCTGACCACAGTGACAGGCAAATCCGAAACCGGATGCCGCCAACCATGTACGAGGAAGTCAAAATATGGAACTCGGTCCACAAAATAGCATTATGGAATAATTGTTTAGCACCTTTTGGCGAAACATATACGAGCACCAACCAGATGCACTACATTCCGTTCAACCATGAAGAGAATATTCCAAACGAGACTACACCAAGTAGAAATCTTTTTGTGTTGCAATGCCGAAATACTATGCAAGGAGCTGTAACCAATATTCAACGGTTACTTGCTTATAACAGAATCAACATTGTTTCGGTCGAATGTGTACCAGGTTTGTCAAACCTGAATGGACAAAAGATTTGGGGGACACAGAAATATACTGCATTTCTCACACAGGTAATTTTGATTATCTGTTTGCTTGGTGTAACAATTAGGCCTCAATACCAGGAACCTAAACTGATTTATATAACAGTATAGTTGGCACACCAAATCAACCTCATATTATATAAGACTATGCTGATTCTTAAACACTGAGGGTGCCTTCAGTTCTCGCTCATCCGAGAGTTGTTACAGCGTTGGACATTATTTTCATCGGAAGTTGTGGGATATCTACCAACATGGAAACTATTTAGTTCTAGGTTTTTATGCATAAATATTGTGTAGGATAGAGTAATTATGGTGGACATGTGTTATAATCTTTAACCGTTGTGTGTCTTCAAGGCTGTCTGAAATTTATTATTCGTGTCCTGCTCCTTTCCGAGACAGACTCCGGCTATATAAAGCAATTCTATTCTACTTGTATGACACTTGCGATGTCACTTTCCTAGGAATGACCAGCTCATTGTGTGTGGTTAACATTTTGTTCGACCGTTGATAACCAGGAATTGCGATTAGCCTTGTAATCAAGCGTTATAACGGTTTATGCATTCGAGATAACCAAGTTCACTTGTGGGTTTGAATACAGGCAGACAAGGTCACAAAAATTGCCGGAAAATGATAGCTGTTAATTGTGTTAGTGCATATTTCAAACATGAGCCTAGACAAGACCTAATATTCCTGCAGTTTGAAACTGTTAGGTTGACCAACCACTGCCATAAAAGCTATAACTCCTCATTGTATGACAAATAAGGCACTATTTACGGCTTTATTTCATCAGCAAAGGCATCTCTTTAGAATGATGTTACCGGTAACACCACATTTCTGAGTCTAAGGCTTACCCGACTGAATTCTGCTAGGACCTTATAAGATCTCACTAATCTGCTTGTTACCATTTAACTTTTGTTTCAGGCAATCGATTGCATTTAACAAACTTCCTTCTGTTAAAAGAAACGAAATAGCTGAATTCCAACTGTCCTAGCTGTTATTTATACTGTTTGATATATCTAGTGTTTAAGAGTTCTGTTAAACAGAAACGAGTGCATACATTACAAAGGGACATGAGCAGCGTTCTGTTGACACTAATCTAGATTATGCTGTGTACCTCGGCCTGACGTGAAATATCATTAACCAAAAATCGCGTGTATATTTTTTCGTGTGCTAGAAATTTGGAGCATTTTTATTCGCGTAGTGGCAATTGCAACTGAACTAATGTGCCATCCACTCGCACAACGAGTACTTCAAGACGGCCCTTTCAATCAGCCAATGAATAAGTTAGTAAGAACAACTTGTGTATCGCGGTCGCGATAATAACCGAAGTGAAACATTAATGGGTGCCGAAATAAGTCACAATTAAGTCGCGCTATATGTTGATAACTACACTTAACGTAATGTACATAAGCATCCAGTTACATATGTGAGTTTAACAAGTTGCTTGGCAAAAGCAGTTTGTTAAATGTTGGCATTGTATCTAGGAGCGGTCAAAGTGTGACGAAAAGTTGGATAGAAAGCCGCTGCTCAAATACAGAGATTTGTCCTCTCACATTAGCTACAATGCAAGACTTATGAACTAAACTCTGCCTACACAGCGTCAGCCAAGTTCCACAGAAATTACGTGCTGTTTAAAACTTAGAAAGTAAAAAATAAAGGATTTTCCTGTTTCTTGAAGTCATCTGTGAACATGATTTACCGCCGTTCTCTGTTGCAGTTTGTCACACAAACGTGTGTTCACACTCATTAGACACAGGTTTATCAGCGCTATCTAGTGCACTGCATCTTTCCGAGCTAGCTAGTGTGGATCACTTTTTATCTCCAGATTGCATTTTTTTTCGTCATTCCCGCAAAAACGCAATCGAGATATTTACCGAATCACGCATTTATACAAAAAATCTGTGATCGCAAACAAAAACCAAATACACGTTTCATCTGACTAATCAGTAACCACAACTGTGGACCAATCAGCAAAGTAGCTACCATACACTTTGTGTCCGTATTTTTCAGTCGCTCTATTTGTTACGTGAACGATCGAGCCGTTTAAACCTGCCCCAACTGGGCTAGACGCAGAGCACGTGACGGCCCTGAACATGCAGACAATTCAGCACACACGCGACCGGCAGGAAACCATAAGCGTTCGGGCCAATATGGGAATACCGTCAATCTACGCAATGGATTGTGGCGGCCAATCAAAAGCCCATGTTCCCGCATCCAGATTGACAGTAGTTTGTGGCCTTCCTTCATGCCATAAAAATGTACGGATTGGAATCCAGTGTAGCACTTGTCGGGGAAAGTTTCATTGCAAATTTTCCAAGTTCACAGTGAACCAGTTAGACCGACGCATTAGTAAGCCAGATTCAATGTGGTGCTGTTTAGTATGTATAGTCATCTCACTGGTAAATATTTTACATAAACTATCGCAGAAGTACCAAAGACTGGTGGCAATGTTTAAACAAATGAGGCGCACCAAAAGCGATTCATTTCTAGGAAGCATGACAGAGATTTAATCCCGGTCATTCTCAACTGGCCTGGCATTAAAGATGAGGAAGAGGGCTAGGCAGTGCGCTAAGAATGCATCATCTGTGGCACTAAACTTCAACATCATCAGTTACTCAAACATGCCTGCAACAACCACCGATAGTCCGATTGCAATGAGCAAGGTCAGGGACTCGTCCACCCTCCAAACGGTTCCGAAATTTCAGAAGTGATTCGAACCATTAGTGGATGGAACTTGGTTGTTGTCAAAGGTGACCGAAAACCTAGATAACATCCTCTCCCACTGGATCAATATTAAATGAAGAAGGCAAAGCTGTACCCAACTAGCCTCCGTTGACTGTATACAGACCAGCTGGTTGTTTGATTACAACCAAAAATGCACGTAGTATACCAGCGGTAAGCTGCACCAACGTTCCAGAATCGACGTCAATTGCCTTGAAAGGAAACAACTCGATAACTTAAGCCAGTGGAACTCCATAAGTGATATTATAGGTATTGTAACTAAGCCCGTCAATTTGACACGCTTTACTCCCCACCCAAATTCACAACACTACCGTGAACCAAGACTACTCCAAGTTGCGTTGAGTTCCGCCAATGAAACAGAAGCTGTCCCGTTATCGGTAGTTTGCCTCCGGAATGGGGCATGCTCCATCCGCCTATTCCCCGATAATACGTGGAGCGAACGCAGACACGCACAGCACTACTTGGACGACAACCGCAAGGAATCCGTAGCCAGGACCATCCTTGTAAACGGTGTTCCCGAGGGTGGAAGTGATTTTGAGCGCGAAACGAACACTCACAACCAGGAAAAGTGGCGGTACATTCGCGAGACACTTGCCCTGAAAAATGTCATTGATCAGCTCAAAATCCATGTCATTGATCAATCAAGGTATGTGGCCCGAGGGTTGTAATAGTGGTACTTCAATCTATAGACTAATGTCTTCGTTTTTGGTGTAGTGATGGCATGCGGGACACAGCATCCTTCCTTCCGAGCTCCGGAACAAAGCAGCATCTGCTAAGTAAACACACAATAGCAGCCAGGTAGTCAGACGACTTACCGAGAAGTTCGGATAACATCAAAAAACTAGCCACGAAACTGGTAAACAGACCCCATACGATACATACAAAGAGAGAAGCAAAGATGTAATGCTAGGATCCATGAATCGGACACAGATTACCTCGTCAACCCCTACCCAAAGAAGGATTAGCTGCCAACTTTCACCGGTCGACACAACACTATCCAAAACTTACATCCCACGATTCATTAGTAAATACAGAGAAACTTTCCTGTATGTAAACGAATGCATAATGTCTCTTAAACAAGCTTGCCGAACTGTGGCTACGTCAAGCGTCACATGCCTGTGATCGCATATTCGTTACGGAAACCTGGTTGCACTCCGAAATTACCGATGCCGACGTCATGAAAAATGGTATGTCCCTTCTCCGAAACGATCGGCCTAGCAAAACTGATTGTACTACCGCAGTGCGAACCGTTGGCCGATCCAGAAACGCTGATCACATACTCAGTGTGGTGCAGGCTGCGACTGAGAAACAACGACAGGCCTTTTGGTCGTTGCCTATCGTCCCTCAATGTCCACCCCAGAGATAAACTCCCGACTGGCATTTTCCTTGGGAAAGGTCCTACGAAGACGATGCAGTCACGTTCTTATCTCAGGTGACTGATCTTCATGATTTGGAAGTTCCAGCATCCCCAACGAGAAGTTTGAGGCCGACGTGCAAGGGTATATTGCAAGCGTTCCGCTCTTCAGCTATGTCAGTTTACCCACCCGATTCTGAGCCGAAATTAGACCATCTTTACTTGATTTAGCGCTCACGAACGAAGAGATCATGGTTAAGAAACCTAGGGTTGGGAGCTCTCTGGGGCTGAACGACAACATAATCGTAAGTTATGACTTTATGTGTTGTGCGGAGTATCCACAATAACATACTAACTTGTTTGGAACAAGCATGCATCAAGACATACTGGCAGCGCTTGTTGGGGCTGACAGCTAGGAGTTTCCGGAAGACTGTTCCATTGACAGTGCTTTGCTGGATTTTACTGGCAAGTCTAATGATCTGATTACATCTGCATCCGTCAACAAGCTCATTAGTTCTGCTAGGGCACAATCATTCATTCGGAGCAGAACCCGAATACACATGAGAGTAAGAGACGCCGCGTGGCATGTGTAAAGAGCAAACCCCTGCCTATGTTCAGCTTATGTACAGACATGTTAACAACCTCCGGAATGTCAAACGTGGTGTTCTTCCACTAATAGCTGCTGATGGATGTGCTCAAACCACCAAGGATGTAGCCAACGTTCTACCTCTACTATATACCCTAATTTTCCAACGTGCTCTCAGTCTTTGTAACATAATTGTCCCATTCTCCTAGATACCAGTATTTACAAACGTCACGTTTAGTTCAGCGAGCATTTTGAGGAAAGTGCTGTCGTTGCACACCCATAGTTCCACCGGAGTTAATAGGATTCTCCCGAAAATGCTGCAAGTTGCAGCTACGAGGATAGCTGAAACATTTACAAGATTTTTCCAAAGATGCTTGGACGAACAGCAGGCCCCTAGCATGTGGAAGCAAAGCATCATTACCCCGGTATCCAACAGTGTTTGCCGTTCAAAGCCAGTCAACTATCGCCCAGGGATTCTCCTTCCGGTGCTCTCAGCGATGATGAAATCGAGCATAGTTAAGGTTGTATTGGGCTACTTCCAAAAGTCTAATACCAAGGCACCTGAGCAACACGGATTCCGTCAGCATCGGTCATGTACTGCCAACCTAAGTCTTGTCAGGTGCAGCTGGACTGAGATAGCCGACAGTAGGATCGGCAATGACATCATCTACATAGAGCTTTCAAAAGCATTTGACCTTCTCTCAAAGGTGAAAGCATGCGGATTTGAAAACCTTTTCCTTATATGAAGCAGATACTTCTTTCAGCCACGTCTTCAGGTCTGAGTTCGAGGTTCATTTTCTGATCCAACTGGTGTGGACTGCGGTGTTCCAATAAGGTCGGTGTGTGTCCGCAGTTCTTTTTGTTCTTCACTAAAGACCTTGCGGTTGTTACCAAGTCAACTTTCCTGCTTTTTGCTGACGACACCAAGTTATGGAAGGCAATCGACCGTCAGGAAGATCAGGATATGTAGCCACGAGACTTAGACTGAGCTTTTGAATGGTCAAAGCTAAATCTACTTCCGTTTAACTCGGACATGTGCAAAACCCTGTGTGTCCGTCACAAGCCCAAGTACGCATATAAGCTGGGAGGCGACATTCTCAAAACCACCTCACCCGAGCGAGACTTTAGAGTGGTGATTCAAGACGGCTTTGTATGTTCGGTGCAATTATTGAAGGGGTCAAAAATTGCGAACCAACAGTTTGCTCTGTTACGAAGGGCGTTCGGGAGGTTCGATTCCTCCATCTTCCATCAAATGCTCAATGCTTATGTGAGGCACATGTAGAGTACAAAATCCAAGATTGGCAACCACGGTTAAAACGCGACCTGGTTGCACTTTGAGACCGCGCAGCGCCCGGCAAGGAAAAATGTGAAGAGTTTGTCTCACTTCAATATCACAGACGACAAAAGCCCAGGGATCGTACAACGGAACATATCACAGTCTGTGGGGTGATCACAACCTGGTGTTCCAAATTTTTAAAAACCCCGGGCATGTTTGCTTTCACGTCTTGAAGCTTAGCTGCAACAAAGAATTGAGGGACCATAAATTGAAACTTGCTACCTAATGGAGTCGGCTTGACCGCCACCGGAATTATTTTTCCCTTCGTGGTTGTCAACAGTGAAACGCTCTTTCGACTTTTGTCATTTCTGCGCGCACGCTACACGTTTTTAAAAACGACTCGACGATGCTTTACACCATCTATATTACTTGAGTTGATTTTTATTCAGTGAGCGAGGAAAAGACGCAGACAAACATTTTGCTCACCAACCCCACGAAATCGCGGTAGGCGGATATACGTATGCGTTAAGGTGAATAATATGCGTTTTTCTCCTCTGCGTAGTTTCACTGAAGGAATATTATTCCCACAAACCATCCCACGGAACTTGTTAAGCCTGGGCTTTTCTATGCATATTATACCATCGTTCTATTGTTTCATTGTCGATATATTTGTTGTTTGTCGATTTCAGAAAGACAGGACCTTTATAATGCTAGGTGGAACATGTTATATTATGAATAATTTAATATTCGTTGTTAGTTGTAGCTGTTCGTGTTTTAGCAACATCTGAATGCAAGAAAAATGTTGTGTTTTACGATGCAGATCTTACAGTGCCTAGTTCATGCTTCCGATCTGAGTAACCCTACAAAACCACTCCCATTATATCAACAATGGGTTGACCGGATAACCGAAGAAATGTTCCAACAGGGTGATCGTGAAAGAGAGGCAGGATTGGAAATTAGCCCCATGTGCGACCGGCGGACTGCGTGTGTGAAGGCAAACCAGGTGAGCTGGGCATCCGTATTGAGCACCGCCATGATCTTTTTCTCATTCGCACGCCCTCTGTATTTGCACCCTAAGTCCAATCAATGGTTGTACACGCAAAGGAAAAATAACATTAGGTAGTACACGTTGAGTAAATCACAATTCACTTTATTTGTATTTCCAATATATAACTAAAGAGCAGGTCATAGCTCAGACCATTAAAGTAACGTCGGTTTTTTAAGGGTCACTGCACTTTACACTGTGCGTAGAGCATTTAGAGTGGTTACTGATCACATTGGTCTAGAAGAGGTATTTAGGTAAGAGAAAGAGTGTATCGGCAGTATGCCGGTTTGCCGTGTTGATGCTTCGTTACCACAAAATCATCACCTGTGTCACGTGTGGTAAGGATACAGCCACGGTCATGTTGTCCCTTACACAGGCTTAAAAACGTGATGTCGGGATTACAAGCCAAGCTTATGATCCTTTGGGCCATAGGCGGTTGCTAAGAAATAGAGCAGTAAATTGGTGTTTTACGTCAAGCAAGATATTTAGGGCTGCTTGGTAGCCCGTCATTTACTTGTCTTGCTATCTGTTTACTGCCACCGGTAATTTAAACATTACGGAAAAGCTCGCAGGGTTAATTGAACCATCGCTTTATGCAAAGCTCATAGGGCGAGCCAACTCAAGTGCTATCTGTCGCAATCCCTGTTATAATTGATTGGTTTTCTTGATGCTTTTACTGGTTACTATCTCATTGTTGTCCTGATGCCGTTATTAAGTTTCAGTGCTATGCGTATATACCAGGATCAAGCATATAAAGAGGAATCTGCGTGCACCAGCACTTTGCTTTCACAATGTAAAATGTATTAAGAACGCGAGTGCTTCATCATCATCATTATAATCATACACGTTAGCTAGAGGTGGGAAACACCTCAGCTACTGTGCCGCAATACAAAGAAAAAAGGAGAGAAGAAAAATAACAACTGGTGAAAGCTGGCTGAGCTACGGGTAACGGATGGGCATCGTTCCGGTAAGCTACCAGCCGGCTACTGTGCATCAAAAAAAAACACTGTGAAAAAGTATATAAGGCCAAATGACGAGATCGTGGTTGGAGGGGCGGCTAAGAGGGATGGCGTGGGATAAAAAGCTCACAACACGAACGCCACTGAGGTCGGCTAGTAGCCATATCAGCAATTGTGTCCAACCAAACGTGTTCATCGTCTCTCGGACCCCAACCAGGGAGCCAAGACGCTCCAACCGAGGCTAGCTCAGAAGTGAGGGCCTTCATTCCTCTGGACCAAGTCATCGCTTGGCCACCCCTCTTCTTCCATCCACACCCTCGGCGCGCAAACAACGCACCTCGCGGGAGTCGGTGGGCTGGCATGCGTAACACGTGGCCGAGCCATCGGAGCCTGGTGCGTGTGATATCGGTGCTGAGCGGTTCATTTCCTTTTCCTCTGCCACAAACAAGGCGTCGAACACGCTCAATGCTCACACGGTGTTCCCACTAGACGTGAGCTAAATTACGAAGGCACCGGTGGTCGAATGTAACTAGCCTCTTCAGGTCCGCTGCTTTAAGCAGCCGGGTTTCACAACCGTGCAGTAGGGTCGAACGTACTGCTGCATTGTACACTCTACCCTTCAGGGCAAGAGTGATGTCACTGCGGCGCCATAAGTGGCGAAGGTTAGTAAAAGCGCTTTGCTATACGGTTCGTGATCTCATCCTCAATCCTACGGGCACTGATACAGCTTCACAGATAGTTGAATTTTTGAAAGACTTGTAGCTGATCCCCACCAAGGGTCAGCGTAGTCGGCGGTCCAGACCAAACTTGGAGGAACGCTTTGCACTTCGAGGGTGCGAAGCAAAGCCCGAAGTGACGGACAGCTATTGCTAATCTGTCCAGTGCTGCTTGACAGGTTTGTGAGCTGTCACAGATTAGGACAATATCATCAGCATACTCTAAATCAAGAAGTCGTTCTCCTGGGAGTAGCTCCACACCTTCTAAGTCGTGTCCTGTAAACGTGATTTCCATGACTTCGTCAACAGCGAAGTTGAAGAGGAAAGGTGACAGCGGGCATCCTTGTCTCACGCCGCTGGAGATACTAAAGGGAGACGACAACTTGCCGTAAGCCCTCACTCTTCCCGAGCTACGCGCATATAATGCTCGGATAATATTCACATATTTCTAAGGTACACCTTTCTTGAGTAGGCAGTCCCAAAGTGCATGTCTGTCCACAGAATCGAATGCACCTTTGATATCGAGGAACACGACAACGGTGGGGCACCAATATATGTGACGATGTTCCAACAACTGACGCAAGGTGAAGATGTGGTCAATGCAGCCACGACCTTGACGAAATCCAGCTTGCTCTTCACGGATCTGGCTTTCACGAGTGCCAGTCAGTCTGTGAAAATGACAGAGGCAAGCAATTTGGAGGCGATGGAGATCAGGCTGATTCCTCTATGGTTGCCGCATTCCGATCGTGAGCCTCCCTTGAAAATTGGGCCTATGATGGAGCGGCTCCAATCGGTTGGGAAGGTTTCCTGCTCCAACAATTTCACTAGTAACTTGTGTAAATCACCCACAAGAGCAGGTCCCCCGAATTTGAAGAGGGCTGGAGGAAGGTCATCAGGTCCCGCGGCTTTATTTAACTTCAACAGTTTGATCTCATGTTCGACTTCTGAGCGAGAGGGTGGATCCAAAGGAACAGCCCACGGAGCAGGGCGATCAGTGGCCGGCGAGAAATCGAACAATTCCGACCGATTAAATTGCCTTTCAAAGTGCTCAGCCCAACGCTCTAGGCGTTTTGATAAATTGTGGATAGGCTGTCCACTCTCGTCTCGTATAGTTTCACTAACACCAGGTCTCCTGCTGCCCGTTTCCCGTATAACACGGAATAACTCACGATGGTTACCAAGAACAGCGGCCATTTCCATCTCTGATGCACGAGGAGACCACCAGGATTCGCGGTCTCTCTTCAGGCTAGCATGGAGTATTGCCCGGAGCTCTGTGCAAGTTTCATTGTGTTCGCTTCCAGCCGGGATATGCCGGCGAGCATCTATAAGTTCCAGAGACTGTGATAAGACCCAATGTCCATGTTGGCGATTAGACATACCACATGAGGATTTTCCTGCTGCTAGTAAGGCCTGTTGCATATGAGACCAGTGAGCTTCAATTGCATCCAGTGAGCGTTTATCCAACTCGGATGACAGCGTAATTTGATAGGCGTTCAGAACAGCTGGATTCACCAGTCTGCAGGTGTCAATGCGCTCACAACATCATCGCGGGCGTCCGACAAAGCGCATCCGCAGGTCAGCACATACAAGTGCATGATCGGTGTCAACACCTGTGCTCCAAATCGAGCGACAGTTCTGGACGCAGCCTCTCCATCGGTAACTGATAGCAATGTGATCGATTTGCGTCCATAGCTGGTTCGAGGCTGGTGAGCGCCAAGTCACCCTCCGGTGAGTGCTGTGTCGGAAATTAGTACTCGCAAGAAATAAGCGAGCATCCTCACACAAATGAAGTAACCGCTCACCGTTATCATTACGGGAGCCTATACCATGTTGTCCGCCCAGATGCAGCTCATCTGTGGATAACTTGCTAACTTGAGCGTTCAGATCTCCAGCCAGCACTACAGGGTCCGAGCTTCTTCTGTGGCGAAAGAGTTCGTTCATTTGGCGATGGAAGTCGTCTTTTACCGAGTCATCGCTCCAGTTTGTTAGTGCAAAGGCAGCGATAACGAATAGACACCTGTTAGTCCCACGCGACTTCGAAGTTTTGAACGGGCCAGCCAATCGTCCGCACACATCCGGCTACTGATTGGAATCCAATCAACCAGAGCAGTTTCAGCCCGGGGACTCAGGACAATACCAACACCGGCTTGGCCGGTGCTCGAAGCTGCATCGTCACCGGATAATCGCAATGAGAAAGTGCTGCTAGTGTCACCTGAAGGGGATCGCAGAGTGAGTACAGAGCTCGAGTCTTGCAGGCGGGTCTCCGATAAGCAGCAGATATCGATCGAGTGGGTCTCCAATGTTTGGGCAAATGCTGCCTGTTGGCCAATCTGAAGCAATGTGCGAACATTGAGGCATGCCAGTCTGAAGGAGGATCGAGGGCACCAAATGGAAGCCGATGAACTGGAACGGGCCGCTTGCTTGGACTCGGGCCTGTTGACAGTGCAGGTATGGCGCTCTGCGTTCACCTGTGAGTTGAAACTAAAAGACAAGCGATTATTGAAGCAAGGTGGGGGAGGGCCGAGAATTGGGGGGTTGAAAACAGGGGGGATAAAAGTAAAGCTGGAACGGGACGATAAGGGTGAAAAAGCGCAGGAAGGGGAATAAGAAGATGGGAAGGCCTGCGCAGTAGAATCCAAACCCCTATAAACCCTGCTCGATGCAGCAGATAGGGCACCGTTGATTATCCTCTGCGGTGGACAGAGCATCAGAAATTCGTTTGGGGAAGGATTCGTTGTATTGCGTGGTCAGGATACTGTCAGGTTGCCCAGGCCTAGACAGGAGAACGATTAGGGTTCTCAACCAAAGCCTTTGGTTCTAAAACCTGACCGCAAGGCAGCGGGTTTGGCAATGGACTACAAGGAGTCCGTTTTAAGGAATAAGGAGCCACCCTCATTCCAACCCCCAACCTGGAGGACCAGGAGGCTGGGTTTGTCTGGCCTCTAATCATTGACCAATCTGGTATGAGTGGCTCTGAAGGTGCAAAAGCACCACCCAGTATAGCTCAATAGATCACTGAGGCACACAAACCATCTCACCACGGTAAGGTCCAGCCTCATTGCGAGTGCTTACTTCTCACACTGGCAAAATTTTAGTAAACAAGTGTGTTTATTTTAGTTACTAACTATAGGCACAAGCTCTGAACTGAACCTCAAGGAACCATATCGTTGCCGAGTGATGCAAAGCTCCAATCGAGGAAAATAAACATCTAATCAGTTTGTCTGCAAGCCTATCTCAGAGCTACCACGCAAATTACGTTGGTGTTACCATATGAATTCAACGG